CCCAAAATAAATACTGTCATATGCTATGTCTACTAAGTGAAAGGTACTTTCCTGGGTCCTACCAGACAACACACTTTCTTGTGCAATATGATTCCTGACAGTCAGAGTGTACGCAGGAGCCGGCAGCCAAAATTTATCATCTGGCAGTTCTATTTCCAGACCTATTGTGTGCCCTCAAAACTGCCTTTTGATCGCTCTCCTCTTGACATTCATCTGTTTCTCAGACTAAGGATCTGTTTCTGCAATGAGCCTGCTCCAGACAGTCAGCTCTCATGCAGGGATGGTAGGTTCCGTCACATTACTTCATGATTATTGAGGAGCACTTAGCTCTCACGAACCTATTCTTGTGAAGGCAAACAGGAACAGTTCTGTGCTTTGAATTTGCTCCTCACATTCCCCTATCACGTAGAGCCATAGAAGTGAGGAAAACAACACGTTATTTGGTTTCATCTGGATCCTGGTTGGGCAAGAAAGTCAGAGAGAGTTGGTGGGATCTTCCTCTGCAAGGAGGAGTGAATTTCCCACACTGGTGCTGCTTCTTTGGCTCCAAAGAAAGAAATGAGTCTGAGAGGAAAAGAGCTTCCTGCATAAGAAAGACTAGTGATAAGGGACTCTCCACCAGGTAACTCTTCCTCATTGTACGGCTGCTAATCCCAGTGTTGGTAGGAAAGGCCTGAAAAATCACCAACTCAAAGACACACTTCAGCCTACTACCATTTTATAACCCTCAAAATCTTTACCTAGTAGAATCTCTTCTTCCACAAAAAAGAAAGAATTCATCTCTCCAGACTTGGAGAAGAGGTGGAAAAGAAGCTTTTTCTGCTTGTAGCAAAAGAAGAGAGCTTTTACTCATAACTCCTCCTTTACAAAAAAGAAGACTATTTAGATGGAGTTGTAACAGTATACAGTAATACAATTTATTGACCAATAAATTAGGAAAAAAGTGCAACTACTCTACTGCAAAGGCAAAGGACTACTTTAGAACGACATAGAATTTGTAAAATAGTGCCGTGAAGATCCTGTAGTCAACTGGGGAAGATCATGAGAAATAAGGACTTCTTGCCCTTCTTAATTAGGGAGAGATGGGACCGTTGCATGGATCCTAAAGTGAAACACTTTTAACACTACAGTTCTTGCCCCAGACTACAGTACTTAGCTAAAAAAAAAAAAAAGCGCCAATCAGCAAATACTTTTTACAGGAAATACGTGGGGAATAGGAGAAGTGTTTGGAATGAAATCTTAGAAGGAAAGTAAACTTTCTGGCATGGGCAGAATTTGTTTTGTTTGTTCTTGAACTCTACACAAGAGTCTTACACACATTCATCAATAAGGACATCACAGGTTAATCTAATGTATGTAAGCACAGGCACTGACAAAGTCCTCTCTCCTCCATTCTTAGCTCTTCCTAATGAAGTCAAGAAGCAGCTACAGCTACACAACTACACATTATGTTCTACAGTAGTACTGCAAATATTAGGTTTTTTCCTACACTGTAATTATTTTCAAATACTTTTCATATATTTGATCTATTTTCTGGTCTAGAAGACTTGCCAGCAGTTTGCTATGGAGGAGAAAAGGATGGCAAACACAAAATAGCACTCGCTTTCTTGAAAGCTTTAGGTTTCGACATGTACTGCTTGACCATACAGCTCAACTTCAGTTGCTTAAAAGCAGACTCATGCAGATGGACACGGCCAAAAATGATCCAGGAGTCAAAGGGCACTCAGTCTAATATACTTTGTGTTAATGTCTAGTACTGCTAAAGTAAGTAAACTAGAGGAGTCCATCTCCAAAGGTCTCCCATAGTGTCTGTAAACTAAGTAGATGGGCCCACTCAAAAACTTTAAATAAATTATTTAGTTTCTTGAAAAGTAACACTCACCCCCCATTCTTTAAGAAATACTGTATCTATTTCACACCAAGAGTTTTCCTTTTTTTTTGCCCTATTTTAAAAATTTTAATTAGAAAGTAACAGGGAAATAATTTAATTATTTCACAATGCAGCCTTTACATAAACATACAATTATGTTCATTTCATGAGAATTTATCTTCACTGTGAAATCAATCGTCACAGTCTCCATTTACTTACATTACCAAGTCACATTTGATTCCTGTCAGAGAACTATTGACTTCTGCAGTAAATCAAAGTGACAGATACTGTTAGTTTCCTTCTGTATCTATCCCCAAGCCTCAGCTCACTCCAGATTGTTTTTCCTTGTACGCAGTGAAATGTGCATTTTCCTGGTAACTGTATTTCAGAACTGGAAAGGTTTTCATACATGGAAAAAATGCAGTGCATAATCCAGGAAACTATTGAAATGTACAGTATCAGAAACATATGGCTGTAGCAAATACCTATGCAGTGAGGGGCTAGGAATGAAAAAGAGAACAAACTTAATAAAGTTTTTCTCCTAAAGGGATTTTGCTTGAAAATTAAAATAATTTAACTGAACATTAAGACAGTTTGCATGGTTGATGAAAAAAAAATATGCTGGAAATTATGGGAAAAAAAAGAGATACAGAATAATCTCCATGCTATCACGAAAGCTTGAACAGATGATTTCGCCTTTGTTCTTTAATGATCTACATCTTAAATAGCAAAATAGTTCCATAACCAGAACCCTCAGTGGGCGAAGTCAGAAAGAGAAAGCTAATTTCTTTCTCAATTGCTAAGGTTTTTTTAATTAAAAAACCCAAACATCATCCCTCCCCCCCAAAAAAAAATCCCAACCAGAAACTGTTACTTTCTACATTAATTTTAAAAAGCAGGCTGTATTTACACACACTTCTCCCCCCTTCAGAAACCAGAAACCAACGGATTAGCGTAGAGTAAAGCAACGATGAGACTCCTTATTTCAACAGAAGCTTACCGATTCCCTGTTTCAGTTTCCCTCAGAATCTGGGAAAGGGAACACAGCGCCCAGTCGAGGGCCAGATCATTTTACTCGAGCCCCAATATCCCTGCTTCTGCTGACACAGTCCGTGAATTTAGGAGACAGTGGAAAGTGATACTAAACTCGTTTTGACCAACTTGTGCCAGCAGGCAGATTTTTAGAAATATCAAAAATAGCTGTTTTGTAGTGACAGAGGAATTGCTGTTGTAATCAGAATTCAATAAATATTTCTTCAAGAACAAGTTCTGCCTCCTTTTAAGCTGAAAGACTGTCTTCATAAACAGCCTCACCCAAGGCAAAGTTATTTTGTCATCTTATCGCTGCGCTGTCATGTCTTAACATGCCCATATAGACATAAGGGTGTTTTTCGAGCAGCCTGCAGATGTTGAAGGGTCTACTCGCAGCCCAAGTGGGCAGGATTATTACAGACATGGCGAACATTTTAGATATCCGATTTTGAAATCCTTGCTGTCCAGTGCGCAGGAAGATCCAGTGAAAATGCAAATGTGCAGCTATATAACACCCAAATAAATCCCAAACTTGCCAGTGGAAATGCATGCTTCTCTTGGGTTTTCACAGCAGTTCATCGATCAATATTTAAGATGATGAAAATATTCAAAGCCATTAAGCAAAACAAAGGAGAAACAATGAGCTAAAATTAACAGATTTCTTGTGGAAAGAACTTAATATGTGCAGCTGATATCAAGCCACCAGGACAAAGTTATCTTTCTTGACTGGTGTACATGCAATGTTGGGATGATTCACACATACCTATAGCAGAATAATCAGAATCACATTAATTTTCAGCATCTGAAGATCATTTATGTTTTTAAAAACATGAAAAGTTTTTCAAAGTTTTTTTTCTGTGCTTCAGAAATGCAAGTGGTCATGTGTTTGAAATCCTATTCCCAGCAAGTATGTGTGCGACATACTTTCAAAGGGCACCTCCTGGCAGACAATGTCCACATGTAGGCTAGCAGAGATGTCAGCAGATGTAGGCAAAGCCTTCACGGGGTAGCTCAGAGCAAGACTCACATTGCATCCTCATGTTTCTGGGGCCAGCAGAAACTTGACAGCCCAGAAATCCTGTGCCTTGCTTTTGCTTTGCAGGAGGGAGGGGCATTCCTTGCTTCTGAAAGGACTATTTCTGGCCAGTTCAGGAGCAACAACAGCTGGCTCTGCAGGGAGCCACATCCAGCCCGCACCATCTTGCGCAATAACTGTATGTATTGCCAAGCTTTGGCGATGCAAGGGGTGAGTGGGTGTGAAGGGACTTGGCAGAAGAGAAGAGGAAAACAAGGGCATCTATCCATGCTACCACTACAATTAATTTTACTTCTTTTCCTGAAAAAGAACTTGCAGAAATTGCACCTTGTCTGCTGAAATGCAATTCCACTGAGACAGTTGCAAATGCAACTCTCCTCTTAAATCAAAAAAAAAACCCCGACAATTTACAGGTCACTTGTATGTCTTTAAGTGTTGTCATGCTTCCTTGACTTATTTGTGCACAGTAATCTGAATTGGCTGTGCATCAGCAGTAGGCTTCCATAGAGGACCCAGACCACTTCACCAGATGATGGAGTCTGAAAGGAAAAGTATGACGCAAACACTTACAAAGCAAAGATTCTATTAATTAGGGAAGCAGAGGAATCTCATTTGTTCTCCATTCAGCAGTTTTTAAACCCAAACAAACAACAGAATGACTCCCAAGATTAGAGACAGGCAAGATTTTCCACTGGAAAAAAGTGAAAAGCAATGACGCCTTTGTGATTTACACCAGTTGAATCTGGTCACAAGGTACAGAAGTCATGAATGTCTTGGTAAGCCTAGGTGACTGCCAAACAAAACAAAATTAGGATCAGGAGATGATTATTCAGCCACACAGAAGATGACTCATCATGGAGCTGTTTCACCCTGTGCGTGGCTAGGAGGACGCCAACCTTTGGTCCCATGGTTATGCAACAGCAAAGAAGCTGATAAATAAAGAGCATCAAGACCTTTGTTCACTCAACATAGTGGAAATACCAGAACTGCACTCCCAGTTATTAAAATGCTCAGCCAGTTACAGTTTTATAGAAGTATCTGCAGAATAGCACATTTTCTTACCTCTGCTCTGTGTTAAACAACGCAAAGATGTGTTTGCTGGACATGAAGCTCTTTTCAACATCTCGCACTTTCAAGTTGTCCAAAGGAAGCATATACTTCTTCTCAGAAGTCTCAAAGAAGCCTGATCTCAGCAAGCTCTGTTTAGTCAGTAATACCTTCAGTACATTTACTACTGTAAGGTAATATCCAAAATTAAAATGTCTGCTTATCTTTCATAGACATACTTGCAACAGAAGTGAAACCTCAATTCCAGTTCTGTTTTTCACTGACCCTTTTAAGACATTTCCTAATAAAAAAATGCCATCTCAAACACATAAGCATCTACATTTATTCTTCTTCATTCTTCCAAATTCTAACAAGAAAAGGGTCAGACTTACGTAAAATGAAAATGTCTAATCAATACAGAATTCTTTTACCTTGTCTGCATAGCAACTGGAGTAACCTGTAACATAAAATTTGTCTCTATCTAGAATTACTATAATGAATTATTTAGGGGTGGCATTTGATGATCCCAGGGGTAAATTTTCATTCCTCCAGTGGAAAACACAAGAATCATACAAATCAATCAAAATCATACCATCATTGAGGTTTTATATATACCATACACAAATAAAACCAGATTCTAATCTAACCAATTTGTTCCTTTTTTTCAGGAATGACCTATTTATTTTTGCTGTTGCCAATTCTTTTTGCATTTTCATCACAACTCTCATTTACAGCACTTTCTCATTCACAGCAGAATCACTATAGTTTTGCCTATTCTAGGTTTCTTGCTTCCTCTCACTCCAAATTAAGGACTAGTAACACTCTTCAGCTACTCACTATGTCAGAACAATACAGCCCTAATTAGCTGTTCCCATTGTGTTAACCTTTGTGAAGTCCTTGTACTGATGGATAAACCAGGGCAAACCTCTCCATTTTGCTTTGCAAATGCACCTGATGCTAAGTAGAAGTGATCCAAGGACAAGAGGGGCAACACTTGTATCCTCATACCCTCATTCTGATTTTGCACATCACGATAACATTGCTGACAGGGCGCTAACACAGTACAGAGTTCAACAGCTTTCAAAGGCCATCAAGGTTCTGTTAAGGCTAGTGCCGTCACCATGGCAGCAATGGAGGGGGGAGAGGATTTATGCCCTAGAATTTGTGCAGCAGATACCAAATGAGGTTCTTGTGAATTTGGTTACCCAATGACCCTATAGAAGTTCAATAAACCACCAGAGCTGGAAAGCTTAAGATTCCTTCACAGTCCCTTATCTGCCAAAATGAAGCAAGATTGCCTCGTCTGTCTCTACCCATCGCCAGACCCAGCTGTGACGTCTAGCACGCATTGCACTTGCTGGTGAATCGTGAACCAGGACATCGCTTACGGCAGTTGGCTCAAGTAAGAAATATGCACGTGATAATAGTTTATTGTATGCCATGAAACAGGGCAAAAGGGACAAACCGAACTAGGACTCGTTTTTCTCAATACATATTTCCCAGAAGAAATACACAAAAGTAACTTCCACTGCGCAGAACTGGAAGAAGTCCTGGCTAGACTGAGATGCGTGTACCGGGAGGGCAGATGCAATTCAGCTTGGCTAAGCTTCAGCAGATTGCAAAACTAAACTGGATGAGAACGTACCTAAGAGTGAAACTATAAAAATACAGTGACGTGTCCAACAATGGATCACTTTCCTAGACAGCTTCATAACAGGGCTCAGTAGGGGAAAAAGCATATTTCAAAGGCCCTTCTGGAAAAGCATGGTTTCTACTGTCTTGTTTCGTTGAATACAAAAGTTATCAAATCCAGTGTGGGAGTATTAGATAAAAAGTATCTGATGGATTTTCAAACTGCCTCTGGCTTAGCCATCCTAGAAATTATTACCCACAGAAGATCATACATATGTATATTCTTCACTCTCTCATCTAACAACAAACCTGATGAAGGAGTCTAGTTCTGTGACAGTCTATAGCTATTTGTCACAGTTCATAACTATGTTCTGCTTCCAGGGAACATGTATTCTCTGAATCTTTGGGGCTCTCCTTGAAGGGAGAGTAGACTGTCATCATTCAGTAAGTAATACCACTGAGATAAATAAAACTAAGCAAAGGAAAATCATAATTTACCAGTAAAAAAGTAAATAGACAATAGTAACTGAAACTAGATAAAGAACTTATAGATCAGATATTTATATATGAAAATTAGAAGTACACTGTCCTCTAATACTGATTTTTATTGATATGATCTGTTTTGATATTATAAACTTATGTCCTAAATAATTCTGGTAGCACTTAAAAGGTAACAATGTCTTAGTTTTGCTGCCATGACAGTGACATACACTTGAAAAATATCCTAGGATATAAATTCAAGAGAACACATATTAAGCTTTGTATTAAAAGCAAATAAATTTTTTTTCGCTTGAAAGCTGGACTGCATGGTAATGTAAAATACTTTGTTTTCTATTTCAAACACTTAAGACAGGTTATATTAAAAACAAACAAACAAACTTTGGGGCAGAAATATCAATGTTATTCATTCCATTGTAACTAAGAAAAAACCTTAGATAAGCTTAATTTTTATTCTTTAGAACTTATCTTTCACTATTTCAGAATATGGTTCTAATGATTTACTACTCCATTACCAGAAATTTAAGAACTTTCTGATGAAGTGTTTGTTCTGACAGACACTACTTAGTGACAAACCAAGCAACCACAGATGCGTAAAAATAGAAACTGATGAAAAAGCTATACCAAGGATCTGATTGTCTAAACAAAAATTCCACAAGCAGGAAAGTTTTATAAATGTTTGATGCCAAACTGTGAGAAAGCATTTCTTCTGTAGCCACCAGGAAAAAGGAAATGCCTGCTGAAGGCTAAGAAGTGGTTGGTATTTATTTATGTGGCCTCCTACCCACATGCTGAGACAGAGCAGTTTCCAAGAAAGGGGAATCAGAGAGTGTCTATGCTGGAAGCTAACAGAGGCAGCATGTCACATATGAGAGATCAGACCGAAATACTGCTTAATTCCCGGAGAAAGGTATTACTGCGACATTAAAGTGTGGCAGCTAAACCCACAGCAACTTTTTTTTTTTTTTCTTCCCAAAGAAGCACGAGCTAATTAAACTGCAGATGAGCCCAACATCATTTCAGCCTGAGCTCAATGAATATTATGCTATGGTTTGGCAAATAAAGCTCCAGCCAGGACTATCTGTGCATGTTTTGCATCCTGAGAGACTAGCAGCATAAGAAACGGGGAATGTAAGACGGCTGGGTGGAATGGGGCTAGGCACACTTCTACGAGTGATGACATGCACATAACTGTGGGTCCAGTTTGTCCCCCATAGCATTTGTTCTTTTTTATTTATAGATTTTTATTTTTATAATGGGGCAGAGAACTTAAGCGCGACACAAGGGGAAAAACCAGCACATGCTGATCTCACGTAGAGACTTTGCCTCTCTTTTTCCTACACAGTGGAGGAGAGCAGAAGGAAAAACTCGGAGGTAGCGTGGCTCGTTCCTGTCTGTGGCATGCAGCATGCCACAGACTTTTTGGGCAGCAAAAAAAAAAAAAAAAAAATCCCCATAATGCACCTTAGAAAAACAAACCAACCTGCGAGCCCGGGGAGGCCTTCCCACCCTTGAGACGACGTTTCACCACTCGTGGGCATAAGTAGCACTCACATCCTTAATGGACTAGTTCTGTTCTCTGACAGGCGAGTAAACTGCCAGGAACTGACAGCATGATGTAAATATGCCATATTACAACTACCCCTTCCTTCTGCAGTGTTTAAATGTACTAAAAATAAATAGTGCTGAAGTCCAAAATGGCACAAGGGATGCAAAAAATACAACAGCAGGACCCCTCCCCCCAGGAAGGTCTCAGCCAGCGCTTCCAAGCTCATGAACTTCACTTTCAGCCAGGGGCAGAAATCATTCCCTGTTGTGGAAGTTCATAGGCTCCGTCAGAAGAAAAAAAACCTTGAACACAATGTCAGCTAACTGGGTTGTAAGGGGAACAGAATTCCTTTGCTTCAAAGAAAAGAGATTGTTAAATTCCTTCAGCTTCCTTTAGTTATCAAAGGTGATTCTCACTTTTAGTTGCCATTTAAAGATGGCCACTGCGCCACAGCAGCATGTAGGACAAACTCTATTCCCAATTTTGTATCCTGAGGAACAGAAACAAAATTCATGCAGGACAACTCAAATATATGTAGCTCAGACGCCGAAAGGCAGGTCGGAGCCTGAGTGTTGGCCTAATCGTACTTGCAGTTACATCACGGGGAACTGAGCCGGTTTGCATAGGGATTTGTAATGCTTTTTAGAACACCAGCTTCCAATCTGGGGGTCGTGACACCAGCCAAGACCCGTCTGTGCCGACTGTGGGGACCACAAGTCCGAAGGAATCAAGCTCCCAACTGGAAGCGCAGGCCACACAGGAGAAGTCGGCACAGTGGCTGGTTTACGGTAGGATCCATTCTGTGCACCCTCTGTACTGAAAGCACAACTCTCACGAGTAATTGCTGCGCACTGATAGCAAATACAGGGATCCATGCAATGCCTCTGCCACTAGTATTAGGCATTAACAAGTGTTGGGCATTAATGAGGCAAAACAGTCAACTACTTTAAAGTCATAAACTGAGGAATCACAGAATGGTGGGGGTTGGAAGGGACCTCTGTGGGTTATCTAGTCCAACCCTCCTGCCGAAGCAGGGTCACCTACAGCAGGCAAGGGCAGCTTTGAATTAAAGCTTGGGAAGGGCAAATGGAAAGGTCGGCATTTCTGCCTCAGAACTAGATTTCCAGACCGACACCGTACTACTCTGTATTTGTTTCCACCTTAGTAACTCAGGTCTAACACTTACCTGACTCACAGACATAGTGCTAGACCTTAGGTTTTGCGAGCTGCAAGGTTTGTGACAGCAGGGCATGTTAAGGTATCCTGCAGTCAGGGTGCTAAAATGTGTAGGTGGAACACCAAAGCCGAGCAACTCCTTGGCAAAGCAGTTAAACAGCAGAGGCAGAAAATAATACCAAAAGGAAGATGTTCTACAGTACTATGCTCTCTTAGATGGCTGGATTGCTACCCCCATTTTACAGACAGGAGCAGACACAAGCAGCAGTG